TTTGTAACAACTAAGGCAAAAATGTAATTAATTCAGAAAATCTTTTCAGGACCCCACCTTGATATTTCGGGACCCCACTTTGGGTCCCGACCCCAACTTTGGGAAACACTGTGGTAAATGATTGCTCTGAAAGTCGCCTGCATGTGGCGGATCTGAGCTTAATTTTCATCACCTTTTAAAGTAATTGATGTTGTTTTAAAAACCTGTTTTTAATTCTTCTCTTCCTGCAGAATGAAACTAAAAGAGGAGGAAGTAATCTGATATATAAACACTTAAATTTGATCTGTTTTAGTTTGTTCTGGACGCCATCTTTAAGCATGCAGTTACGTTTCATTCCTAAAGGTTTACACCAACAAACATCCCGTTCCTTAGAAGGAACATTTCAGTTACGCTGACTCAGAAAATTGTTTTTCTTTTAGGAAAGAACATTTTTTTAGTTGACTGTGGAATATATTTTGTAGAAACGATAGTTTAAACATAACCCAGATTCTGAGAAAAGTTAGGATGTTGTATAAAGTGTAAATAGAACACATCAAACATTAGCCGTCTAAAAATAAGTAAAACTAGACATGGGCTTTTACGATGTAAAAACAAGTGTGCATTGCCATGTAGCATGGCTTTGTCTGCAGCATTGGACTTGCAGAATGAACTGTGACCAAGTTCAAATGTGTTTTCTATACCTTCTTGTGCTTGTGAAGTCAGCAGGTGTTTGTAATGAGCATAATTGTGTAACAATATGATGTGTGTAGAGATTTTTTAGTTAAAGTTGCTGTAGCTGGGGTTTGAACCCTGATCACCCACATGAAAGCCCGTAGAGTTAACCGTTAGACCAATTTGAGCTGTGGCAGAGGGTGGTGCCAGGAGTTGGTTTGTATGTGTGCCGAAAGGGGCCACATTGCCAATGCAATCGTTGACACTAAACTGCAATATATTAAAACAATAGGACAACATTAAGACAGTATTACAGTAAATTATCAAAATACAATCATAATAATATTGTAATCACTGAACTACTGAGTTTAAATATTATGAAACTATGGTGCAGTACCATATTGTGTAGATGCAGCAGGGGGCAGTATTGGACCAATACAAGGCTGCGTTGACTGCCATTATAATTTATTAAACATTAATATTTCAAAAACTATAAGTTTTACAGGCACCAAAAGGCATAGCCATCATTTGGCACAGGTGCTTTACCGATATAAATTACAATGGCAGCTCTAGGACAAAGTATGCAGGAGGAGAAGTGTGCCAAAGTTTAGATGACTTGGATGGGAAACGAATGCACATTGAATATGAGATTGTAGTCTGAATCTTCTGAAATTAAGTGAAAGTTGCACTTGGTAAGACTCGTTAAAAAGAGAAGATTTCCAGGTTAACAAGATGAATCTGCTTTTGTTTGGTATATTAATCTCAAAACAAGAACAAAAAAACTTTTTTGGCTGAAATAAGGTTGTAAAACTTGGCTAAAAGGACATTTTCTGCAGATTTACAAACTCATAAAGTCATATTTTCTTCACAGTGGAGCACATTAAACACATCAAATGTAAATAAAACTAAAGAGTGCATTTCCTGTGAAAATGATTATTGATTAAAGCTGCTGAAATGGAGCTGAAAACGTTTTGTAGCAAAACCGTTGATGCCATTTCCATTTGACAGAAGCACAAAAAGCAGAAACTAGCAGAAGAATAGAAGAAAAGAGCAGAATAATAGCTGAAAAGCAGGAAAAAAGCTAAAATTAGCATAAAAACAAGCTATAGGTAGCATACATAAATTAGCACCCAGATGGTGAAAGGACCTTAAAAAATGTCAAATTAGCACAAAAAAGTCAGTTTCTTGTAAAATTGCTCAAACAGCTAAAATGTAGCTGGAAATTCTTTATTAGCATAAGGAAACATAAGAAGCACAAGTTTGCTGAACCT